TGGTTGTCATCCCTTTGGCAACCCCCTGGAACGTGATATCAATATTACCAAGAACAGAATTGACCTATTTTTGGTTAATCATATGCCAGAAGCGGTGGAACTCCTCTCTGGCTTATTAGATCCCAATGCTGAGATGAGGTAAATTTTAAAAAATGAAATCTAGCTGCACTGCTGCAGTAGTGCTGTTCCTTTAGGGTCTATTTGGATGGGGTTTTTTGGAGAGGCAGGCTTTGAATGGCTTAGTGTATATCTTGATAAATAGAATGTATCAAAAACCGAATAAAAAGTGATTGGAATGGGATGCAAACTCATATATATATGGTTCATGTGATTGCGACATTGCGTGCATTTATAAGTTTCATTTCAACAGAATTTCTTTAAAAACATTGCAGGCCAAATGCGGGAGAGGTTCTTGCTCATCCTTTCTTTTGGACATCCGAGACGCGATTGGCGTTCCTTCGTGACACTAGCGATAGGGTAGAAGTAGAAGATAGGGATAGTGGTTCGGTTTTATTAAAAGCACTGGAATTGGAAGGGACATCTGTGTGTGCATGGGATTCAAAGCTGGACCCCGCACTCCTCCATGACATAGCCCGTTACAGGCGTTATCAGTTCCACAGTGTCCGTGACTTGCTCAGGCTCATACGTAACAAGTCCAATCATTACAGACAGCTTCCAACTGAAGTTCAGGTGGTTTTCTCACAACAAAATATTAATATAAGGTCCGTTTGGGACTAGGGAAAGAAAATAGGGATATATAATGTGAAGGAGTATGTCTTGAAAACATTAAACATATTTGATTTTTTTTGCATTACCCGACGTAAAACTAGATATAAAGAAATAACTTTGATTAGGATCAGAACATGTGTATTTGATCAGAATATGTTATTCTGTTTATCTTTGGCTATTTGCACCTCCAACTTAACTTGATAGCATTACAGGAACTTTTAGGGCCATTGCCGGAAGGATTTGATGCCTATTTCACAAGCCGATTTCCTCGACTGCTTATTCAGGTTTACAAAGTTGTGTCCTCACACTGTAGGAAAGAAGAGTTCTTCCATAAATACTTCTCAAACTCTACACTGTAATATTTTATCTTTCGACTTATATAACTACGCTTTGATACATACTTGTTTGATACCTCTAGTGTTTCCTGTACATACACATCCCCGTTAAATGTTTATCCTGATTAAACACCATTGATTTTCACTTACTGGGCTGAAATGGATTATAGAACCTTCCTTTAATATTCACATTTCAACCAAGCACTTACCGAACAATGTTTGGACTTTGGACCATGCCAATATGTTTTGTGAAGTTTTACCTCTTAACTCTATATTTATCAAAACATAAAGGTAAAACTTAACGAAGCAATATAATACCCCAATCTCTTTCAAGATGGTAGAGCTCCATTGTGTTAAAACTCGGGGTTTATCCTAAAAGGTCAACCTGATAGAAGGTGTAGTCCAAAGCCTTATATAATGTTTTATTGTTTTATAACGTTCCGGTGTGAAACAAATACTTTAACACGCCCCCTCAGCCCGAATCAAGTTGGGCAATATCGGGGTGTATAAATGAGCCAAACAGACCCTTAACAAGCTACCCGTAATCATGAGTGCTAAACAAGCAGTCAAACCACAACCGAAATTGGCTCTAATACCATGTTAAGACCCGAGGTTTCATTCTAAAAGGTCATATGTGTGTGAGAGAGGGAAAGACTAAGCATTGCAGTGAGAGAATATTTGTTAATGGTCAACTTATGTTCTTAGATCCATTTATATAAGCATCACCACCACCACCAATATTTGTCTATGTCTCTATATATATAATTAGGATCAATTTTTTTTATAACCCGAAATATAAACCACCCATCGGTGGGTAAATTCCGAGGAACATTTATCGAATTTTATTAAAATAAAAATAGTACAAAACGAGAGGACACTAGATCAAAACCTCTCAAAAGAAGGCATACCTCCTCGAAATACATGAACAGAAAAGTAAACGAAAGGAAAGAAATATAGTAACAAAAAGCGGGAAGAGTTGAAGCATCTAAGTGAACCAATGTTTTGACAAAGAGAAAAAGAGATTAGCGAATACAGGGAATATCAAGGGAGTCCAATTCAATAAGATTTAATGGAATTGGAAAGATTGTGCTTATTATAAAAGTACTTGAGCTGACTAAGATGTATGCCATCCTGGGCCAAAGCATGAGCTACTGAATTAATCTCCCTGTAGATATGCCTTATTACACACACACCCAACTCCTCACAGATCTTCCGAGTCATATCAACTGTACACATCAGATGAAAAGGCGAATGTTGAGCACCTTTCAAAGCTCTGATAACCATCTCAGAATCATATTCAAGCTAGAAATCCTGAAAGCCTTGATGTTTACAACATTTTAGAGCAATGTATCCGCTTTAAGCTCGGCTTGCACAACCGTGCTTGCTTTAATCGGAAAGGATATAGTCATGAGCAAGCTCCCTCTATCGTCTCTAAGCACTCTTCTTAAGATCAAATAAGAAGAGTGCTTATTGTAAAAAGTGAGAATGCATCTCGTGCATTGAATTTGAGATCTAATGGTTGTTACAGTGCAAAAATTGTTAAAAAGTGATGAGCAACATGGTGTTTTGTAATTAACTCAAGCTTTTATGCTATCGGGTAAAAGTGCATTAGATAAGCGTAAAATTGCAACAAAAAGGACTAAACGCGAATCCCTCTCATTTCTCACATTAAGATGTCTTCATATCCAATCCTATATAGAATTATATATATATATATATATATATAGAGTAGTCTTCCGGTCAGGTATACCTGACCAGAGCCCCGTCCGGCCTCCTCCATTTGGGGGTCTTCCCGGTGGTATTTTTTGCTCAAATTTTTTGTGTAGGGTCCTCATCAAGTCTAGTTCATCCATACCAAATTTCAGCCAAAAATTCAATCGGGAAGGTCGTCAAATGATTTTTGCAAGTTAACTGGTCCGGAATATGTATTTTAAAGTATTGCAAAATGCCAAATTGGCACCACGTGATTCCAACCTTTAGATCAATTCAACAAATGAGCAAGATGAGTTTATAGCTTGTAAATTAGGAGAAGTTTGTCTTTTATCACTTATATATATATATATATATATAGAGGAATGCTCCTGTCCAGACGTCCGGACAGGAGCCGCCGTCCGGCCGGCGGCGTTTGGCCGCCTTCCCGGTGGAATTTTTTGATGAAATTTTTATGGCATGTTCTCCATCAAGTCTAGTTTATCCACAAAAAAATTCAGCCAAAAACTCAATCGGGAAGGTCGTCAAATGATTTTTGCAAGTTAACTGGTCCGGAAAATACATATTCCGGACCAGTTAACTTGCAAAAATCATTTGACGACCTTCCCGATTGAGTTTTTGGCTGATTTTTTTTGTGGATAAACTAGACTTGATGGAGAACATGCCATAAAAATTTCATCAAAAAATTCCACCGGGAAGGCGTCCAAACGCCGCCGGCCGGACGGCGGCTCCTGTCCGGACGTCTGGACAGGATCTTTTCTATATATATATATATATATATATATATATATATATATATATATATATATATATATAGAGGAATGCTCCTGTCCAGACGTCCGGACAGGAGCCGCCGTCCGGCCGGCGGCGTTTGGCCGCCTTCCCGGTGGAATTTTTTGATGAAATTTTTATGGCATGTTCTCCATCAAGTCTAGTTTATCCACAAAAAAATTCAGCTAAAAACTCAATCGGGAAGGTCGTCAAATGATTTTTGCAAGTTAACTGGTCCGGAAAATACATATTCCGGACCAGTTAACTTGCAAAAATCATTTGACGACCTTCCCGATTGAGTTTTTGGCTGAATTTTTTTGTGGATAAACTAGACTTGATGGAGAACATGCCATAAAAATTTCATCAAAAAAATCCACCGGGAAGGCGGCCAAACGCCGCCGGCCGGACGGCGGCTCCTGTCCGGACGTCTGGACAGGATCTTTTCTATATATATATATATATATATATATATATATATATATATATATATATATTTCTTAGGCCTCTTTCATTTGAGGTGCTTCTGGGTCGAATTTTTTGATGAAATTTTGTGACCAGGTTCTCCATGGATTGAAGATTATGTCCACCAAGTTTCAGAATAAAATTCAATCGGGAAGTCGTTTAAATAAATTATTGAAAAAAACTGCATTTTATATATGCTAAAACCTGCACAATTTTGAAAAAATTATTTAACCGACTTCCCGATTGAATTTTATTCTGAAATTTGGTGGGCATAGTCAACACTTCATGGAGAACATGCTCACAAAATTTCATCAAAAAATAAATCCCGGAAGCACCTCAAATGAAAGAGGCATAAGAATTTCAATTCTTAGGCCTACCTTACTTGAACATTTTCCTATATATATATATATATATATATATATATATATATATATATATATATATATATATATATATATATATACCAATTTATGTAAAAGAGAGAGACTAAGAATTGCTTTGAGAGAATATTTGTGAATGGCATTGTTATTACAACAGTGCCTTGGAAAGCCTAGCCGGCAACTCAGCGTTCTCACAATGGGAAGTGCTCGCTAGGTTTCGTTACCTCGCTAGAAGAAGAAGAAGAATAGGCGACTTAGGCATCATCCAAACATCGTCTAGGCAAGCTTTTGGCATTAAGGCGTCTCCAGGTTTTATGTTTAGAAAGGCTAACCGCAATCCCATAAAATTAGGGCTCGTTTGGTAGTTTACACATTAAAACTTTGCACGCAAAATGATTGCATGTAAAGTTTAGGACATGTAAAATTGTTTGCATGTAAAATAAAGATACACCATTTGGTTACCTATGTAATCTATTTTTAAATTACACGCAAAGTCTTTGCAATGTTTGATAACAAAAATAACTTTACATAGTAAAATATTTATAAAAAACTACTTCGTACATCACTTCATGCGTGTGATAGCAAAAATTTGTGGCCATGGCTTTTTCTCCAGCAATATGGTACCTGCAGTTGCCGATGATGCACTCGCGAGTGTGCCATGGCGTTGCTCTCCAGCAGTATACAATGGGTCGAGGGGGATCAAAATGTTATTTTTGTAACTATTTGAAACCAACTCATTATACTTGCCGATGACAAATTATATTACTAATTTTTGCTTCCATACACTTGTAAAAAATAAATGTATGTGAAATAGCAGTTTATTTGAATTGAAAGCACAAAGTAGACATTATAAATTGAAAAGTTTAAATTGAAAATTACTTTATTGTCGTAGTTTCAACTACCAAAACAGTAACACTTTGAAGGAATGTAAAAGGATTAAATAGAAATCCAATATTGTCTTAATAAAACTAAATGATAAAAAATTCATAGAAAGTCACTAAAATGCCTCTAATTAGATTTCTCCGTTCAAGACAGCTCGGACATAAATCAACCTCATCATCACAATTAACCATTTTGGTTTCCTCATTCCAGCCAAAACCTGAAGCACCCCTCATCATAGAGAATTCCTTATATTGAGTTTTTAAATGCCTTAACCTATTTTTTATATTTGGATCTCCCAAAATATGACAACCAGGGATTTTTGTAGCCATCCACTTCTGCAGCTGCTGATAAAAACCAGTTTTGAATCCATTTTCAGCTTTCCAACCTTGGTTGATCAATTCCAGACAACCCTCAATGAGTATTTTGTCTTCATGAGAAGACCACTGATGATTATTGCGCTTCACTTTTGAACTCGGGGGTGTGATAGTACAATCTTCCATTGTAGACTCTATAACACAAATGTTAAGAACACACAATCATCATGGTGAAATACGCAGTCTTGCTTTATATGATGAGTTAATATAAAAAGAAAGTACAACACGTCCTGAAAAAAAAAATTATATAGATCGCTAGTATTTTATTATAAATAAAAACAAAGAGTTCTTGCAGCTCATCCACCAAGTGCACAAAGAGTGGACAGATTTTCTTAACAAAAAATCATAACAAATAATTAAGATGATTCCTAACAAATAAAAACGTATAAAACCACTAATATGTTTATTAATTCCTATTAGCTCGACGCTCATTCCATATTTCTTGGGCTAAGTTATCCCTAAATGCAGTCCAAGCTGCAGATGGCTCAATATCTTGTATGCTTGGGGCATTCAACAACGGATCAGAATCAGCATAATCTTCCGGCACCTTATCCTCAAGCGGATCCTTTCGCATCTCCCTTCTTATATGATTGTGAAGTAAAGCACAAGCAGTTATGATTCTACAATACGTCTTCACAGGGTACCACGATCTACTACGAAGAATTGCCCATCTCATTTTTAATAACCCAAATGATCTCTCAATGACATTGCGTGCACATGAATGCTTGTAATTAAACAATTCTTCTTTTGTTCTAGGATAATTTTGTGGACTCCATTCTTTTATGTGATACCGTTGGCCTCTATACGGAGCTAAAAACCCGTCTGCATTGCTGTATCCAGCATCACATAGATAGTAGCAACCTTGAGGAACTACAAAGCCATTTGGTCTAGAAATTGCACTTCTTAATACCCTTGCGTCCGCAGCAGAACCTTCCCACCCAGGCAATATGTAAATAAAATGTAAATCCCGAGAACAAACTCCAAGTACATTTGTTGCTAAATCGCCTTTCCTTGTCCTGTACTTGGGCTTTTCTTGTTCAGGGACATTTATCTGAATATAAGTTCCGTCTAGTGCTCCCAAACAATTCTACATATTAAAATAAAATAGTAGTACTTTGTTAGTAATTAGCTTATTTAACCATTTTTTATTTTGAGGTAAGTTCCAGGTAAATAATGTAAAATCAATACCTTAAACCATTTCCAACGATGTTCTTTACAATTTTGAGGCACTGGTTCAGGCTTCTTAAGCAAAACTTCATGTAGTCTCAAGATAGCAAGCAAGACCTTATTAAAGTTTCTGCTTATTGTCTCACCGCTACGCACAAATTCTCTTTTGGCCACTCTTACTTTGGTATGATGAGAGAGTATATAGAGGAATGAAGCAAGCATTTCCTCAACGGTTGAATTCTTTGTTGATCGCAACATGCCAATGGTTTCAACCATGTCACATAACACGTAAAATGCCCTCCTATCCATCCTAATGTTATCTACACATTCTTTATCGTCATCCCAAATCATTGTTCTAAAATTTACTCGTCTAATTTCATACCTCTCATAGGCACTTCCTTTTTGACACCTCTTCCTCTTTCGTAGAATAAAAGTGTCTCTATAATATTCTAACATCGCAAGCACAATGAGTAGAAAGTTTCTAAAATTTAAAGCAACAACATAAGCTGCCATGCACATTGTAATTTCGTCTTGCAATGAGCTGTCCATGATCAACACTAACACCAAAAAAATATAACTCCACTTAATTAGTATGTCATACAAATTTTATTTATTTATTTATTTATTTATTTATTTATTTTTGAAAGCTTGTTATAATAAGAATGAAAATATGAAAAGTTTGTGATACAATATTAGACAATTAGAAATTAAAAGATGTTATCACAAATCACAATCAAAGAAAAATTGTTCCAAATTAACATTAAAACTCAAAATTAGCTGGAACATCTAGTTAGAAGCTAGGCAACAATTGAACAACCGAACAGAGTAAATACGCCTTTTTAATAACAATGATAAATCAAATATAATGGGTATACGAGCATCAAATATCATAACTGGTATAATAACAGAGACCATTACATCATACAGAGTAGTAAAAGCAGTACAACACACATCAATTAACAAAAAAACTTCAAAATTCCTATTTCTGCAAACATGGGTTTCCAGTCCCCAATCCCTGTTCAGATTGCAAATGCTAACTTCACAGCAGCCGTGTATATACATATATTCATATATGTTTGTGTATATATAGATAGACAAATAATACGTATATATATTTGATCAACCCAAGTATTTCTCATACCTAAACAACGGATATGCATGGTTTAGCTTTCAAATTCAAGTATACATCAAATCTCAGCATATAATCAAAGTTACAGATCAAATATTTGAATATATATACACGTATATATAAATTAAACCAAAGTGTAGAAGCTGACCTCTTGATAACGTCGAGCGCAGAGAACAGATGGAGAAGAGATTTGATGATTTTATTTGCTTATATAGAAGATATTATGAAGTTCTTTCCGCCAATTTTTTTGCTTTGCCGCCACAGTCGTGTTTCAATCGATGCCGCCATATGTTTTAATCAATGCCGCCATATGTTTTAATCGCTCGCAAAAATAGGTTTTAATCGATGCCGGCTGTGGAAACCCTAGTAGTATTGGGCTTAGCCCATTTTGTATGTCTTGTATAGGAAACCCTAGGACTCTAAATATAGCTATAAATATAGCTTCTTGTATAGGATTTCATGTGAAGTATATTGAATACAATCTTATTATCCATTATCTTCAGTTAATACCCCATCATGTTTGGACTTCACCTCATATCTTCGGCCCATCCATCAGGAGCCTCCCATTAACCCCCCATCTGATGAGCACCCAAACTGCCCTCCTATGTCAGATCGTCCATTACAGGTATACCATCGACGTCCTCGACCTCCTCCCATTGAGCCCATCATGGCCACGCCCGTTGATTCCCCTATGACGGATCCTGCATCACCACCATCACCTACTCCAGCACTTGACACCACTCAGGATAATTTGCCAATTGCTCTCCGAAAAGGTACGCGTTCCACATTGAATCCACATCCCATATATAACTTTTTGAGTTATCACCGCCTCTCTACCCCTTACTATGCCTTTATTTCCCACCTATCTCATATATGCATTCCTAAAACCACACATGAGGCACTGACACACCCAGAGTGGCGTAAAGCCATGTTGGCTGAGATGGAGGCTCTTCATTCTAGTGGGACATGGGACTTAGTCCCCCTTCCCACTGGCAAATCAGTGGTGGGATGTCGGTGGATTTACACGGTTAAGGTTGGGCCTGATGGGGAGATTGATCGTTTTAAAGCACGCCTTGTGGCGAAAGGGTATACTCAGATATATGGCTTGGATTACACTGACACTTTTTCTCCTGTAGCGAAGATTGCATCAGTTCGTTTGGTTTTATCCATGGCAGCAATGAGCCGCTGGCCATTGTTCCAATTGGATATTAAAAACGCATTCCTTCACGGAGATCTGCACGAGGAAGTTTATATGGAGCAACCACCTGGATTTGTTGCTCAGGGGGAGTCTGGTATGGTGTGCAGATTACGTCGTTCATTATATGGCTTGAAGCAATCTCCACGTGCATGGTTTGGGAGGTTCAGTGCCGTTGTTTGCAGCTTTGGCATGATTCGCAGTGATGTTGATCATTCTATATTCTACAGACATTCTGCTGGCAACAAATGTATTTATCTTGTTGTGTATGTTGATGACATTGTCATTACAGGTAGCGATGATCAAGGAATTGCTCTCCTCAAGCAACATCTGTTTAGCAAATTTCAAACAAAAGACTTGGGAAAGTTGAGATACTTCCTTGGCATTGAGGTTGCACAGTCTCAAGATGGAATTGCTCTCTCACAAAGAAAGTATGCCTTGGATATTCTTGAGGAAACAGGTTTGCTAGATTGCAGGCCAGTGGATACACCAATGGATCCGAACGTTAAACTCGTATCAGAACAGGGAGATCTTTTGCCCAACAAGGAAAAATATAGAAGACTCATCGGAAAATTGAATTATCTTACCATCACGAGACCAGATATTTCATTTGCGGTAAGTGTTCTTAGCCAGTTTCTTGATAAGCCATGTACTGGACATTGGGATGCAGCTATTCGAGTTTTGAGATACATCAAGAAAACTCCAGGACAAGGATTGTTGTTTGAAGATCGAGGCCACCGTGATATTGTGGGATACTGTGATGCAGACTGGGCCGGATGTCCGATGGATAGACGTTCCACTTCGGGATATTGCATCTTGATTGGTGGAAACTTAATTTCATGGAAAAGTAAGAAACAGGATGTGGTTGCCAGATCTAGTGCTGAAGCAGAATATCGTGCAATGGCCCTTGCTACCTGTGAAATCTTATGGTTGAAGCATCTCCTCCAAGAGTTAAAATATGGAAACACAAAACCAGCTCAACTCATGTGTGATAATCAAGCTGCAATGCACATCGCATCAAATCCGGTATATCATGAGAGGACAAAACATATTGAAGTTGATTGTCATTTTATCCGAGAGAAGATCACCAGTGGACATATCATCACAAAATATGTGAACACAACTGGACAACTTGCAGATATTTTAACTAAGTCTCTTAGAGGTCCTAGAGTGGAATATATTTGTAACAAGCTTGGTACATATGATTTATATGCTCCAGCTTGAGGGGGAGTGTGGAAACCCTAGTAGTATTGGGCTTAGCCCATTTTGTATGTCTTGTATAGGAAACCCTAGGACTCTAAATATAGCTATAAATATAGCTTCTTGTATAGGATTTCATATGAAGTATATTGAATACAATCTTATATTTCACACCGGCAGTATGCCGCCATATGTTTTAAACTTTTAATCGCTCGCAAAAGTGGATGTAAACTACTTTGCAACCCTCCCCCCACGTAAAATATTTTACACGGTACAGTGTAAAATATGATTAAAAAAGTGTCCTACAGTTTACATTAAAATAGTTAAAACAAACGGTTTTAGAAACAAAATTTTAGGAAACTAATTCAAGGGACTTCAGGTATTTATTAGAGCCATCATTGACGTCGAAGAGTTTCAGAATGCCACAAGTTCAAAGCGCAGATGCAGTGACGAACCCCAGTGTTGAAATCTCACACCGTCAAAATATGAAGTAATAAAACATTATACTCCGTATTAAAATGAAACCTCGAGTCATAACATGACATCAAAATCAAATCGATTCATACTCATAATATAAGCCCCTTAAGAAAAATTGACGACACAATTATAAAAAAATGACAATGACGAACCAACAAAAAATGAATAACGACATGATTCAGACGAAGTGTCTGGTCATGGGAAGAGATATTGAAGTCTCACACTGGTAAAATATGAAATAATAAAGTACTACATTAAAACCTTGAGCTGCTATTCTTCCTATCAAGTTGACATTTTAGGATAGAATCTCGAGTTTTAATATTCAATAAAAGTTGTTCCCAGGTCCTAAATCCCAATCTGTTCTACCCGAGTACCTATATCCTACAACCGGATGTAGGTACATCCAGCCCAATTGAAAAGGACAGCCCATTAGCTAATATAGGCCATTTTATTTTCGATGGCATTTTTGTAATTTAAGCAAAAATCGCGGTTTCAGCTAAATGAGCATTAGTGTACATTTAATGAGCAATAGTCCAATGTTAATGAGTATTTAGCATCCAATAATGAACATCATGTTAGTACAACAAAGTTGATATCACAACTAAAAAAACGGTGACATTTTTGTAATATCAGTGAAAATCGTTATTTTCGATAGATGACCATTTACACACTGTTAATGAGCATCAGATGTATTCTATTGAGCATTAAGAGTCGAATAATGAGTAATGTGATATCAATTTCATACTACCTCCGTCCCAAAAAGAGATGCAAATTTGACTTTTCTTAGTCAAACAGTCTCGTTTTGTTCACTTAATTTGGATGTCAATTTTTAATTATGTTCTAATTTGGAGTTTACAACTTTGAAGAGATTTTAATGTAGTTTATGAATATGTAAATTTTAATTATTAAAAATTGAATTAATTATCTATACGGAGGGTTGACTTTTATTATTGGTTGACCAAAAATTGTTGACTTTGCAAAACAAATTGGGACGGAGGGAGTATATTGTAATTCACTTTCTTTTTTCTTTTTTTTTCTTTTATAAAAACTCATTAAATTATAACATATGAATTTCAATATGTGAATCGAATATAATATAATACTTTTGAAATATGCATTGTTATGACATTTTAAAAATGAGCATAACATGAGTACCAATTGAGCATATGTAACTTCCAAAATGAGCATAAATATGAAAATCATGAAGTTTTTGAGTTGGACGTCACGATATTTTCATTAAGCATCAAACCTCCTATATTGAGATAAAAATAACGCTTTCTGTTGAATGAACTTTTAATTAGCACTAACCTATTATATTAAGTGTTAGGAGTCTAGTATTGAGCATCGTAATCTCTGTTTTATATCTTTTAATTGACATTCTTTTTATATTTTTTCTTTTATAGAAACTTATTAAATTATATCTACAATCAATCTCTATGAAGTTCAATATGTGAATCTAATGTAATATGATGCTTTTGAAATATGCATTGATATAACATTTTAAAAATGAGCAAAACATCATTATCGATTGAGCATATATAACTTACAAAATAAGCATTAATATGAAAAATAAACTTTGTTAGTTGAGCATCAAGACATTTTTTCATTGAGCATTAAATCTCCTCTATTGAGTATTAGAAGCGTGCAATTGAGTACCGATTGAGCATTCGCAAATTATAAAATGAGCATTAGTATGACAATCATAAGTTTTTTTTAGTTGAGCGAGCATCAAAACGTTTTCATTGAGCATCAAATCTTCTCTATTGAGTATTAAAAATATGCAATTGAATATCATGGTCTGTGCTCTCGTATCTATAATTAACTCCTACTTCAATCTAATTTAATATGTTACTCTTGAAATATGGATAGATATAACATTTTAAAATGAGCATAACATCAGTATCAAATGAGTATACATAATTTACAAAAAGAGCATTGATATGGAAATCGCAAACTTTGTTAATTGAACATCAAAACATTTTTCATTGAGTATCAAACTTTCTTTTATTGAATTACAAAAATAATCTTGTTCTTTTTATAATTGATGTTTACTCATGCACATTTATTTTACATTATACTCATTTTTGTATAAAACAAAATTGAGTAAATAAAACACAATGTATAATAAACTAATAAAGATATATAATTCATTCATTCTCATTTACCCCAATGCCGCAAAGGCTCCCACCTACGGTGGGGTAAGGGGGGGTCGGATGTACGCAGTCTTACCCCTGTAAGAGCACAGAGAGACTGTTTCCGGATGACACGTAGTGAAATTCGCGTCCAAAATTGCATGGACTGACTGCTGCTTCAAACAAAGAAGCACAGACAGTTTAGTGAGCCATTTTGCTTTATTCCATCATATTCTCAAGCCAAAAAATAATGAATCTTTGACTCTATTGCAAATGATGGAAATAAATAAAGATATATAATTAAAATAAAAAAATAGAAAAATGAAAAATCAATACCTAAAACTTTTTATATTACACAAATAAAAAAAACTAAGTTAGAAAGTTGATTGGAAAAAGAGAAAATCTGGAACATTAAGTAATATTTTATATTATAGATTTTCATGATAATTTAATTGAAAATAAAAAAAAAATGTAAAGAAAAAAACAAAAACCTGAAAAGGAAGAACCGAAAGAAAACAAAAAGGTCGTTACCGAATAAAACAAAAGAAAACAAAGAACTGAAAACAAGGAGTAAACAAGGAAGGAACGGAATGCTAAGCAAATTAAATCGCCGGATGTACGTACCACCGGCGGTACGATATAATTTACCGTTCTACCCGTATGTTATAGTCAGATTAAGTATAAAAACCGAGTACTCCACTACCCGTACAATTTTATAAAGGGGAAAAAGACCAAAAACGACATCAAAGTTTTTAACAAAGTTCAGATTGGACACTAAAGTTTTAAGTAGACCAAATAAACACAAATTTAATCTTTTTGGTTCCATTTCAGCCACCCTTAAGGATGTTTTCTTTTGGACTGAAATTTGCTGGTCTGGTCTGGTCTGGTCTGGTCTGTTTAAGTCTGGTCTGGTCTGAACTGGTCTGGTAAACGTCTGGTCTCTGTGTATTTTATAACTATCCAAGTCTGGTCTGGTCTGGTCTGATCTGTTTAAGTCTGGTCTGGTCTGGGACTGAAAAACAGTCCAAAAGAAAACATCCTAACTGCTCCGTTATATTGTTCCTTTGGATGCCGCTAAGCAAGACCAGAATCCGAAAACCCCTTTATCTGGTGTCTCAATCCCGACCTGCCCAGACCACCACACGCTCTCAAGAAACCCTGCCAACTCTAAATTTCATGACCAGAAGACCTTGGGTCCGCGATTTATTTCAAGACATCCGAGATTCACTGTTACTAAGAAATTGATGTTCCTCGCAAAAAAAAAATGTTTCCAGAAATCATCTCCAACTCCTTTGTTCCAATCGTCCATGCCACTACGTATAGTCATGGACCCGGGCCCGGCCGGGCTTTTTTTTGGGAAGGAAGGCCCGGGACCGGCCCGGGTAGCCACCGGGTCCGGGCCGGGCCTCCGGTTCGATCATAATTTTTTTTTTTTTGCTTTCCTAACCCCCCCACTCACCCCCCCCAAACCCCCAAACCCCTCCTAACCATCAAGCCCAACCCGGCTAACCCCAAAAAATGAAAAAAAAAAAAAAAAAAAAAAAAATCAATTCGGCCCGGGCCCGGGCCCGACCCGGCCGGGCCGGTTCACCAAATACAAGGCCCGAGCCCGGACCCGCCCCCCCCACCGGGCCTAGGCCCGACCCGGACCCGGACCTGAGAACCGGGCCGGTTCCGGGCCCGCACAGTGGCGGGCCGGGCCGGTCCCGGGCCGGGCGGCCCGAACCGGGTCCATGCCTAACTACGTAATTGGTTGCACCATTGTAGCGATTGCTGGTGTCGTTCCCAGCAAGCCGATGCAAATCATTGGTGCAAATTGACCCTCTGTGATTCTTCCGTTTGCCCGACCATATCCTTCAAACTTAAAGTTTTTGTTCTTTTTCTTCCCAGCCTAAAGTGAAGTTTAATTTTTAAATTTAACTAATGGAGTGTCTACTGGTGAAAGTGTTAAACATCTACCGTCCCTATTTAGCCAAAGACGGGATCTACTCACATGAACTTTGTTTTCATTGGGGCTGTGTTTTTTAATCGAGATGGCACTAACGACAGGAAAGATCATTTAAAAGAGATGTTAAAAGGGTGGCTGAAATGGAACCAAAAAGTTTAAAATTGTGTTTATTTGGTCTATAGTGTCCAATTTGAACTTCATGAAAAACGTCGGTGTCATTTTTGGACCTTTTCCCTTTTATAAAGTATATAAAAAGTATTAAGCTATTTGAGACGGGCATTTTTACTCTTCATTCCCATTAATAAACCTTGTCTCTAATTATTAAATGTTAGTTTCAGTTGTAGGTTATACAGTTTAATTAGTAATATATTATACATAATATATCAAGTAGTATAAATTACAAATTAAATATAGTTAAACCGGATATTATGAATATCATACTACGTATATAATTATATATATATATATATATATATATATATATATATCATTATATATATGAGAGCTCTTCCTCTCCGGAATTTCCGGACAGGATCCTGGCCCGGCCAACTCAATTTGAGGTGGTTTCCGGTGGTATTTTTGACCCAAATTTTTTGTGTATGTTCCTCATCAAGTCTAGTTCATCCATACCAAATTTCTGAAAAAAAATTCAATCGGGAAGGTCGTCAAATGATTTTTACATATTCCGGACCAGTAAACTTGCAAAAATCATTTGATGACCTTCCCGATTGAATTGTTTTCTGAAATTTGGTATGGATGAACTAGACTTGATGAGGAACATACACAAAAAATTTGGGTCAAAAATACCACCGAGAACCACCTCAAATTGAGGTGGCCGGACAGGGGAGTGGTCCGGCCGAGGGCATTTTGGGCACTTCCCGATGGAATTTTTTGATGAAAGTTTTTGAGCATGTTCTTCATGAGGTCTAGTTTATTCATACCAAATTTCAGATCAAAATTCGATGGGAAGACATTCAAATAATTTTTTGAAGTTGACTGCGTCAAAGTATACATATAAAAACCCAGTCAACTTCAAAAAAATATTTGAATGCCTTCCCGATCGAATTTTGAGCTGAAATTTGGTATGGATAAACTAGACTTGATGAAGAACATGTCCAAAAAATTTTATCAAAAAATTCCACCGGGAAGTGCCCGAAATGCCCTCGGCCGGACGGCGGTTCCCGTCAGGCCGGCTGGACATGAAAAGTCCTCTCTCTCTCTCTATATATATATATAAACTATATATATGACACAATGTGCAACTAGTCGCCCAATTGCCTAGGCAATATGGCAGTCGACTGGCTCCCCGACTTGCCTTACCACCGTGACAACCATGGTGAATGGTCAATTTATGTTCTTAGATCCATTTATACAAGCATCAACATGACCACCAATACTCCCCCTACCTGAAGCCTCTTCCATTTGTCTCCTCTTTATTGACCGGCTTTTCACATAATCTTCCTTCTCATCTACAAATGAAAGGAAAGTGTGGAGCCTCCCTGTCCGGGAGCTTCCACCACCACTGCTAGACAGATCAGGATCAGACGAATACCTCTTGAACTGGTAGGTGAGAAGTATGAAGTACAGCATTAGAGCTAAGAAGCTCACAGCCCCACAGATGGAAAAGAGACCTGCAAAGCTCCTTAGCTCAAGATGGTCAACTTCAAACTTTGTGTTCTGTGATGTGCAAGCACTTCTCGTAAGCCATTTTTCATGGATTCTCTGAAGCTCTCCATTTTCTGAGAGTTTTAGTATTGCGGTTGACAAGTCCACTGCCAGAGGAGAGTCCCTTGGGAAAGCCTTAACCAAATATTTTGAGATTAGAATTTAGAAACATGTTACACTACAATACACTAGGATGATGGGTTTTGTGATGCAAAGGTTAAGAAGAGTCAATACACACTACGCCGGATCACATACATGTTCTCAAAACATTTAGGTACCAACTGCTGTACTGCAGCCTATTGTTTGATGGGATCTAAGTGGAAGTGGAAGGGTCTAAAGTCCAGGGGGGAATTAATTGGGAATAGTAGTGGATTTTTTAATAACAAAATGACTTTTTCATGCATGTGAAAAAAATACCCTGTGAAATTGTGGCTGAAATGGTTGAAAATATAGAAAGATCACTTAGAGCAAACTTACAAAGCCCCAACCGTTCTTCTGAAACTCCTGGCCTACAATACTGAACTCACAGTGTGTTGATAAAAAAACTTCCATGTAGGCACGTTCATCAACCACAGCCATAACACCACCATTTGTAGGACCCTTCCTTAGAGCATCCACATAATCTTCAGGCAAATTAAGAGGAACAAGCCTAGATGCATGAATACCAAGCTCCTCAACCAGATAATTCCGTGTAAATGAACCAAGTTGATAACCGATTGGATCGTTCGAAGTCAACAAGCTCTCGATCCCTTTCACCGCAGAAGAAAGACGTTGAACAGTGAGGATTGAGGTTAAACTAGCTGTGTAGCTTGAGGTTATGATCAAGACCACGAAAAGCCATACGATTAGGACGACTCGGCCAAGGGTGCTTACTGTAGTTTCCTCTGAGGGGCAAAAAGGACAATAAGAAATTTCATTTAAAAAAAGCTTGTCAGGTTACTGAAGTTCATTAATGTGTGGAGTAGTTCACTTACTGTGTGCAAAGAAGAGAGTTGAAAAGCTAAACCTGAAATTGGAAAACCATAAAGCTTAGTCACTTTGGAGCACGTGACTCAAAGAAAGAATGATCCTTGATTTTTTTTTTTTTGCTTCTAGATGTTTAGGGTCTGTTTGCATCCGGAAATGATTGGGAAAGAAAATATATAGGAAATGTTTGGGAGGAAAAAATGCTGGGCAAAGTTAAAAAACTAGTTCAAACTCAATAAATTAATTTTGGAAGTTTATTCAAACTCGTTATATTTTTCCATCATTTCCAATGGAGTAAAGACTCACTATTTTTGGGCATGGGAATACGATGGAATGAATAGAAATATGTCTCACTAAATTGTTTGTGCTTCTTTGTTATGAAGTAGCAGTCAGTCTATGCAATTTTTATGCGATTATCATTATGAGTCCTCATTTGCAGGTTACTGTCTGCGCTTCTTTGTTATGAAGCAGCGGTCAGTCAATGCAATTTTGGACGTGATTTTCACCATGGGTCATCCGAAAACAGTCTCTTTGTGCTTTAGTACAGGGGTAAGACTGCGTACATCCGACCCCCCTTACCCCACCGTAGGTGGGAGCCTTTGCGGCCCTGGGGTAAATGATGAATGAAATGAATGATCATTATGAGTCCTCCAGAAACAGTCTCTTTGTGGTTTAGTACTAGTGTAAGGCTGCATATATCCGACCCCCTTATCCCACCGTAGGTGGGAAACCTTTGCGGCATTGGAATAATGTTGTAGTTGTATTCAAACTCGTTATATGATAAAGACAAAGAAATCAAATATACGCAAAGTTGTAAAACCTTTAATGAAATTTGATTTTTGCTCTTTTACTTTCCATTCAAAGGAAAACGAACATAAAACTGTTTTCCTCGCATATTTTCCATTTCTATACCATTTCCTACATTATAAACAAACCTTAATGTTTAGCCTCATTCCAACATATATCCCTGACGCACTCTTTACTACCTAAGACACTATAGTACAGATAATCAACGATAAATAAATACCGTTGCCCAGAGCCAAAAGGCTAAACCAACTTTTATTCCAAGATGATCAAGAATGAAGCATACAAGGGGTATAAATAACCTTCTAGGTCTAATAAGAATAGGAATCCTAATTAAATTATTCTAGGAAACTGAATGGAATAGGAAACCTCTAGTTCTAATAGAACTCCTAATTAAATCATTCTAGGAAACTAAATAGAAACAGGAAACCTCTAATTCTAATAAGAATATAAGTCCTAAATAAATCCTACCAGGAAACAAATTAAATTAGGAAACAAAATAAAAGAAATAATAAATATTAATTAAACAGCCCGCAACCAGCCCACGGAGGTGGGCTCAAGCCCGTCCTGCCCCATGCTCTTCCCGCTTCATATCAATCCATCCTCCTTCAAATTAACCTTGTCCTCAAGGTTGAAAACTCGTGGAACGGGAACTGAAATTTGCAGACATAGAATAGACTGGAAAATATTCTTCTTCTCTTTCCTGAACCTTTTCCTGGCCGGTTATTTCACATAATTCATGCTGCTTGAGGTCCAACTTTTCATCCTCCTCAGCTATCATTACCCGCAGCTGCTTAAAGGGGCAGTCATGTGTTGGCGTAAATGGTTTCTTACACCTAAAGCATAATCCCTTCGCCCGCAATTCTGCAAACTCTTTTGGCGGAAGACGAGTGAACTGAGAGCGTGTCATGGACTGCCCGGACTGCCCTGATCTTGTCCCAGGGGGCTGTCCACTGTCTTTCGCCAAGCTGCCCTCTGAACCCTGTAAGCTGCCACCAATGGTGGTCAACGGGGAACCTGTGTTTGCCCTTAAAAGGCTGCTAGAACGTACCCCTGACGAATGATAATTCAGGCTGTCACTTTCTCCACTTTGGACGAACAGATTATACTCCACTTCGCGAGCTAATTCCATCGCCATCTCCAGGTTGTTTGGTCGAAGCAATCGCAGCGAGCTTCAGATTGTTTCCTTAAGACCGCTCATGTAATATCCCAAATAGTGCTCATCAGACAAACCCAAGACTTGACTTGCCAACTGGACAAAAAGAATGTTACTCCCTCCGTATCAAATTAATTGACCCATTTGCTTCTCACGCAGTTTAAGACAATTAATGTAGACTTTATTAAAAGTAAGAGGTTTTTGGTACTGTAGCGACACTGTAGCGGTACTGTAGCAGTACTGTAGCTGCTTTTTGAGTGGGATTCTTTCCAAAAAGGGAAAGGGGTCAATTAATTTGATACCCCAAAAAAGGAAAGTGGGTCAAGTAATTTGATATGGAGGGAGTATAATCCTCCACAGTTCCAGCTTGCTTGACTCCAGACAGTCGTTCAAACCGGTTTCCCTGGTATCGAGAATCAAATCTGGTAACCAGGGCTTGTTTGAATTCTTCCCAGTTTATACCGGGTTTGCGTGATCTCAGCCATGTAACCCAGTAAAGCGCTCCACCTTCCATGGTTACCATAGCGGCAACCACCTTTCTCTCTGGTAGGGTTGCTGCTCCACCCGGGCTAACCACCCGATCGGGTCCCACCCATCGAACGTGGGTAGTGGCGTCGGAGTTGGATTGCGCCCTCCCCCGTCGATATGCGGCACTGTCAGCGCGCCGATGTTGGCTCCCACCGCGCCGATGTCCGGTGACCCAGGCGGTACCAACGCCTTTGGTTAACGCGGCCAGAGAAGCCGCGATTTCCTCCAGTTTCGCACCGTAATCTCTTAGTGTCAGGTTCATCACCTCCAATTTCATACCATGGTCGTCGAGTGTCAGGTTCGTCCGGGTCTGTTCGGCGCCCAGTCGGGCCACCTCCTCTCCCGTGCGACTTTGTTCACTTTCCAATTCTTGCAATCGATCACTTTGAGATCTCGTCATTGTGGCGGGACGGGATCCGGCAGGTCGGACCAATTGATAGGAACAAAAACAATAAAATCAACGGAGTGAACCGTTGCCCAGATAATCAATGATAAATAAATACCGTTGCCCAGAGCCAAAAGGATAAACCAACTTTTATTCCAAGATGATCAAGAATGAAGCATACAAGGGGTATAAATAACCTTCTAGGTCTAACAAGAATAGGAATCCTAATTAAATTATTCTAGGAAACTGAATGGAATAGGAAACCTCTAGTTCTAATAGAACTCCTAATTAAATCATTCTAGGAAACTAAATAGAAACAGGAAAACTCTAATTCTAATAAGAATAGAAGTCCTAAATAAATCGTACCAGGAAACAAATTAAATTAGGAAACAAAATAAAAGGAATAATAAATATTAATTAAACAGCCCGCAACCAGCCCACGGAGGTGGGCTCAAGCCCGTCCCGCCCCATGCTCTTCCCGCTTCATATCAGGTAGTTAGAAACATACCAGAGAATGGTGATGAATTGCTTTTTAGGAGGTCCACGAAAATCCTCATTCATTCTGTGTTCCAAAAACCAGACGACGGCCCCCACAATGAGGAAAAAGATTCCAGTAATAGCCCACATAGGAGGAGTGAAAGGTCTAAGAAAAGCCCAAGCACTTGAGCTCAATTCTTTCACAGGTACCACCACAACTAGCCCTGATTCAATGTAAGGTTGAGTAAAGTCGGCCATCTTCGTTCGCTTGGTTGTGATCGCAATGTCCCCTACTGCTGCATCATAAACCTGAAACCATACCATTCCCAGTTTTTCTTTTAGTCATAAGAGTTGGGATGGGGTTCAACCTAGGCACAAAGAGTAAAGTTTGGGTGCTAATTATTAGGTTCAGGTTTCGAACCCAAATTTCTAAATTACATTATTCCATCTAGTACAAGCAGTGAGGATCGTATGTCAGACTATCTTCCCGGCTCAGATTTCCTGAGTTCGGTTTTCCAAGGGCAAACCACAGCGCTACCCTAGACCACAATGGTCTATACCACCTTCACCAACTACAAACCAGACATACAACATAACCAACATAAGCTAAAATATATTTTGAGTGGAGATGAAACAATAATAGACAAATCTCTTCTAAACCCATAACTACAATTTACAAGCACACCAATTACACTATCCAATGGATGTATTCCCTTCAGTCCTTATAAAACACAAACCTTTAAGGAGGAGACAGTGGTCCTTATATGAGGCATGGTTTTTTTCAACAAGTAATTAACGTTGTTTTCCCATTGTTTAATATTATGTCCCTAATAAATATTGAGTCATATTTTGAAAGTATACATGCATGATAATGTAGTGGTTGCACTATCTTTTAGAGATCAGGAAAATGAACTAATTTACCGAGTTGGACATAACATTAGGTTGCACCCGAACCTTATGCTTGTGTGTCTATCTATATATATATATATGTATAGCAATGTAAAGTGTATACGTAGTATTAAATAAACTTAGAGCCTTAGCAACTCACCCCGGAAGTGATTAGATGCACAATTTCTGTATGGTTTGGGTTTTTAAGGCCATCCCCCAAGGACACAAACTTGTAAGGGACAGAATATGGTAATAAGGTAACAGCATTAGTGAAAACTTCAATGCAGTAGCCTCTGAACATATCATCATCATCATCACCACCACCTGTCACCTGCCCTACAAATTCCTGAAAACTAACCCTTTTAGGGACACCTATTTTTAACTTCTTTCCATTGTTAGGGAATACCCAACCTCGGGGCTTGCTGGTCATTTGACCAGGCCATATCATGCCGTGTAGTCGTTGATTTGAAGAAGAGATGTTTGATGGTTTTGAATAAAGCGATTCAGGAGGATTAACTGATAGTCTGGAATAATTTGACCAATAACCAACCCTTGTAAATCCATTCCCTACCATATTTATGACCTCAAATGCTGGTCTGTTTAGGTCCCTATCTGATGTGAACCTGATGTAACAAACTATATAGATCAGGGAAAAAAAGAATAATACAATTACTGCTCCATACTAAATGTATTCCATACAAAAATAAGCATAACATTAGACAAATTATGCACCAATAATGGTAATTGAACGTGAGCACTGAATTGGTCAATAATGGAAAACAATAGGACTGTGATAAGCCTCTGAAAGGCAGTTGACGTTGCTGCTATTTTTTAGCCCTTAGTGGGAAGTTGGTTATGGCATGACTCATATCCTCTGAAGTGTAATCCACTACTTTATTGCATTATTAGTAAGTAGTATAAATACTTGCTAATTAGCTCTATCCTAGGGAAGATATTACTGGAAATTATCGTGGAAATTATCATGTCCCTTCCAAATGGACAATTTCTCAATTCTCACTCTCTTTTTATTTTTTGTCAAGACTTAGAGTTTCTTGTCAATCTCCTAGGAGGAGTAGCCCACGACTTTATATGTTAGCTTGCATTTTTATATGCAATTTATGTGAAATAGCTTAATACGCCCCACAAAATGGTTGCTCATTGAATCAGACCAACCTTGTAGTTCAATTTTGGGGCTTACCAGGATCTAATTGTTCATTAGAGTTTAATCGGCTTTGATACCATGTCAAGATTTGGGATTTCATACTATTGGTGAACGTGACAGGAATAGCCCACGACTTTGAGCTTGTTAGGTAACTTCCCTTATTTATTTTGATTATTACACAACTTAGTGCGCGAAATCAGAAGTTACGTGTTTGGTGAAAAAATGGTCAGATGAGCTGAAAAAGAAAAACAGGATCACCAAACGGGCTCTTTACATGGCATTTTGTATTTTTAATTTATATACGCACCCAGTGTAGAATAGCAATAGTTTTTATCCGTTCGTGTGGCTCTTATCATTTTGGTATTAGAGCCGGTTATATGCTAATGGTTTCCAATTAGTCTACCATCCAAACTGATCCACACATTCAACTAGTGAATTCCTTTGTTGAAACAAATCCTGATTTCATTCAATAAGTAACATTGATTGCTTCACGATTGCAAACTCTAGACGGACAAAAGATGTTCAAATAAAATCTCAACAGGGTGATGGCCAATATGGTGGATCGAGCAAAGGTAAGGCTAAGAAAATGTTACGGACCAGCTCATACTAGGCCCACACCAATGCCATAAGCCCGGGTGTAGAACTGACTCCCACAAGGCTAGCCAATTAGGAGGAGGGGACACCTAGCTTATAAGCCACCGCCCACCGATCAAGCCCATACTTGATCAGTGTGGGATCGTTACAATACCCCACGTTTCGAAGAGCCAATGTCCTCGTTGGTCATGACTATGTTGGTCCCGGATGGCACCCCCAGGGCCCAAGCCACCACTCCATAGGCCACCACTCCGAGTGTTGGGACGGGGAAGATGGGGATGACTCTGATACCAATTATTACGGACCTAGCCCATACTAGACCCACACCAATGCCATAAGCCCAGGTGTAGAACTCACTCCCAAAAGACTTGTCAATAAGGAGAAGGAGACACCTAGCTTATAAGCCACCGATCAAGACAATACTTGATCGGTGTGGGATTGTTACATAAAAGTCAAATGGGATCTCAAGAAAGGGTACGAGTGCCTTGTGGATATATCCTCGACAAAGATATGATGCACTTGGCATGGCAACAAAGCTTCACTTGTAGGCCCACAAGGATGGATTCTAAAAGCTTCACTCTAGTTTCTGTCTAGCTTTCGCAATGATATTTGATTGGAAGAACTTGTTAATTTCACTCCAAAGTTTTGGTGCGAGTGTCTGTATTAGATAACACGAGCAACGAGAGCTCAAGAGAGTGACACAAGGAGCCATGAAAACAACATTTGATCTTGTTGCTCCTAGAGGATATACACTTCGTTCACGATTCCGCTGGCCAGTTAGTGAATTGTTTTGGAATCTCTGGCTTCACAATAAATCGAAGCAGTTTATGTGCTCAAACCATAGATTCAACATGGTGTTTCCACAAGAGAAAATTGTTAGAGTCAAGTTTGATTGGAAGAAGAGGTGCAAACTGGAGAGGTAGTGCTTCCATAGTTTCTAGCACACGAAGAAGAATTGGGACTTTCATTTGAGATCGCCATTAATGGATCAAGCTAAGCTCTGTTACCATAGTAGAATAGCAACAATAATGAAAGAGACTAATGAGAATGATCTTCTTGTTTTGATATGAACAACCATACACAGTATTTATAGAAACAGACAACCATAACAAACTAAACAAAATCGGGTGGCTTTGACACAGTTCTAGTGGTGGTGAATCGCACTCTAGAATCACACCTCATCTTGGAGCAAGTACCTAGTGTTGGCTGAGTATTTGATTTGATCATATCTTGTTGTATTATGTTGCGATTCAAGCGTTTTATATCTCGTTGGAAAGGTTTTGTTTGAGCTCTAAAACTCATATTCAGACTTTATTTATAATGTATTAAAGAATAAATACGTAGAAACCTGAAATTCATAAGCATTGTCGAGTTCACTCTAAACTTGTGTAGTGTTTGATTTGATCATATCTTGTTGTATTTCGTTCGGTTTCAAGCGTTTTATAGATCGTTGGAAAGATCATATCGAGTTATAAAACTCGTATACATACTTCATTTACAGAATATTAAAGGATAGGTGTCAATCAGAGAATCAGTAGAAAATATCTTTGTTACCTTATTGAAATCTTTGTAATTATCGGAAGTTTTGTTAAAAAAATAAAACACAAACAAAATCAACAAATTACCACAAACCTCACAAACTAAGTAGCATGATAAATTTGATCAAAGTGAGAAAGGTACAATTGCACTTTACTTGCAAATAGTGTGATCTAATAATAATAATAATAATAATAAGATATATGTGGAATTAGCATTTAACCAATATTCCTGATACCTGCAGCAATCCCAATGATGGTGATGAGCAAAGCATATCCCAATGATGGTGATGAGCAAAGCATATCCCAATGATGGTGATGAGCAAAGCATCTCTAAGCTTATTGTTATTTGTATCTTGCCCTAACATCTTCAATACCTCCATCAGTAAAATATTCTTCGGATTCAGATAAGGTAGCCTACTCTCAATCAACCTCCTAAGACTCTGGTTATTCTCAGAGAGCTTCTCGTGCCCCATCACCAAAAGCACATACTTCTCTGTCGTCAAAAGCTCTCCCCTCAAGTCAATGCCCAATTTTTGTCTGCTTATAGACACTAACACTTCATCATAGTGCTTCGCAATGGGAATGTCCGCTTTCCCGAGAACCATCTCTATGAGATCAATGGTTGACTGAAAAAATGGCCAATCTTTGTACATTGCACGTAAATCTTTAGTGTGCCCTTTCTTGCAAACGCCCTTAAGGCCAGCTCCAACCCTTAGCCAAGAGGGGAGGATGAACCTTGTTTGAGTCCACGCAAATATCCATGGAATAGTCTGGAGATGTTCTATTCATGCCGTGTTTTTTCTTCTTGTTGGTCGGCTTCCAATGTTGAGATATCCAAGCTCGGCTTGTGGGGTGGCTTCGTGGTGTTTCTCTTTGCGTGGTGGTTGGGACTTGGGGTGGGCGCAACTGCGCAAGGTGGCAAGTAGTACAGCTGTTGTGTAGATCTCAAGCTGCCTAAGCGCAACGTGGGGTAGTCCAAACTTTGCTTGAACCATTTCTCCTTGTTCTGTTGACCGGACTGTTCCCATAACAGAACCAGGTCACTGGGATTGAATGGCAACTGGCAAGGTAAGTGTTCATTACATGCAGCTATCACATCTTCTTGATCTTTATAAAGCTCCCATGCGGCTGTAAAACGCCCTCCATCTTTCCTGGAGTCCGAATAACCAACCATCACCTCTTGATGTCCATTATGATTCTTTTTTATGTGGTCTCGGTACCAGTCGATCGATAGTAGCTTCCTGATCACTGAACCAGCTTCTCTTAAATCCTTCACAGTTTCAAACAGTGGAACCACCTGTAGTCTCTTCGGATTGCTTCAATCCATACCCAAAAAAATGGCCTGCTCATCTGCCCCTAATATCCAAATGTGAACTTGAGCATCAATCACCTCCCAAGTTTCATCCTTTGTGGCCCTAATATCCTTAGTGGCAGAGTTCTGTGTGGAAGAGTCATCCATGTGAGCCCACAAATCCTTTTCTTTCAGAAAGGTTTCAAATTGAAACGCCCATGATAGAGTATATGGGCCTGGACCCCATGCCCCACATACTCATAAAGTCAACGATGCCAAAAGAACATCCACGTGGCCCCCTTCAGCCCAGTAAGGGCCTGCAACGGCCAGAACCGGATCAGCTCAGGACACCGCCTGGAGGAAAGATGGGCCTCATCGGCCATGGACCACATCGGCCAAAAGCACTGCATCGGCCAGGATGGCTCCTGGCAGAATGTAACTTTCTTACTTTATTTCGCTAAGTGTTGTACTCAGCCCATTAGTGGCCCTATTTCGCCCAAAGAAGACATGATTATTGTAATGGGCCTCCTAAGCCCATGGCTAGGAGCCCAAATCCACATTTTCCCTATAAATACTCCCCTTGGGGGTAGTTATTAGGGGTTGAGAAATATTAATTGCTCACTTTCTCTCTCTAGCTCTCACTTCTCTCTAGAATTAAATACTCTATCAGCCCAAGTAACATAATTCTTGCAATCAAATCGAACACACAAATTTTCAAATTTATCCCATGATAACAAAAAGAGCTGAGATAGAAGATGGCTGTAACTAAGGCGGTGATGCCAACCAAGAGCTGAGATAGCAGAATCTGAGAGGAAACCCTAAGGTTTGTGTTAAAAATCTGAGACGTCGAGCAAGAACTCCATGAACAAACCTAAGTGAATTTTAAAAAATAACTGCTGAAAAAATGCTTATGGCTCTGATACCATGTCACGAATATGACTAGAAATGATAAAATCATGATTTAAAATCAGGAATTAAGAACTGGGAATTCTGGAAAACTTGAGCTGCCTTGCTCAGCTGTTTATTTAAACTTAGATAGGCAACATATGAATATATGTGCAAGGAAACAAATCAAGAGATCCTTACAATTAATGCAAGATATCCCTGCACTTAATGCCAAATAAAAACTTCCTATGATTACAAAGATTCAATAAGGTAACAAAGATATATTTCCACTGATTCTCTGATTGACAATCAGTACGTATTACTCTGAAATTAAAAATTATTGCCGAGTTGACTCTGAACATGGGAACCACTCCACTTATAATTCTCTGTGATCGAGATCCGCCTGTTCTAGACCCTTTTGTGTCTGGAGAAAAAAACAATGATGACCTAGAAAAATAACTACTGTCTCGTGATGCTATGCTAAAACTTCTTTGGGAGAACCTCCAAAGCGCTCAATGCCAGATAAGAGCTCAAGTTGACTCCAAACGTCGGAAGTTGTCTTTTGAGGTAGGAGATGATGTCTTCCTTTAAATTCAACCTTTCCGTCAACGTTCATTTTCCAAGCGACGGTTTGAAAAGTTGTCCCTCGTTTTTTTGGCCCTTATTCGATAGTTCATCGAGTTGGTCGCTCTACCTGAAGATTGCAAAATTCATCCAAACTTTCATGTCTCCTTGTGGCGCATTGCTTATGGACAGTCCCCTTCGGTTCCGCCCACTGCCCTTCCTAATTCTACTGATTAGGAGTATGTGTTACATCCTGAAAAAGTGTCACCAACGGGTTTCTGGTTCTAATTTGGAATTGTTGGTGCAATGGGCAGGCCGTCCTATCATCGAAAAAGCAACTTGGGAAGATTATGACCTACTTTCCAAGCAGTTCCCTTCTTTCTACCTGAGGACAAGGTGACTTTTCAGGGGGGAGTACTGATAAGCCACTAAGAACTTGTTCTCACCTGAAGAAAAAACCTCTGAAAGGCAGTTGACGTTGTTGAGTTGCTGTTTTTTAGCCCTTAGTGGCTTAGTGGGAAGTTGGTTATGGGCATGACCGATGCCCTGTAAAGTATAAACCACTACATTATTGCATTATTAGTAATTATAAATACTTGCTAATTAGCTCTGTAATAGGGAAGATATTACTGGAAATTATCCTATCGTAAAAGGAGACTTGTCCCCTCGAAACGGAGAGAGAACCTTGGGAAATTTGTTCAGATACTATAAATTTCACAATCCTCGCTATCTTTCTATTTGTCTTTATCCGTTTACATTTGCGTCATCAGACTGCCTATACTCTTTTGACTGAAGTTGCAAGTTTTGCTGAACATAAACATTTTTCATATACACTTTATTTTATTATTTATTGTTTTAAACTGTGATGTCATATGTCGATTCAAACCCAAACTCTTTTGGGACTAAGGTTGGATGTTGTCATGTTGTTGTTGTACTTTCATCATTTTGTCACTTAAAATATACTCTCTCCTCTTCCTTTTCAAAACTTCATGGATCTCCACCCCAATTGGACACATTTCACCCTTAAAAGAAGGGCTGTAAAATAGCTTTTGACTTGGTTGAAATAGATGTTACAAAACCCTCTTCATACGCATAAAATTCAAAAAATCCTACTATTTCAGCCAAATAAGATGTATTTACCAAACAGACCCTCCTGACTCCTGAGTAGTATTGAGTTAAAATGTGCAACATGCCTAATACAGTAATACCTTAATGGACCTGTCATGCCGGTCATTTCCTCCTTAAAAATCATCTCCCTCAATAGATTCCCACCATCAAAGACGCTCATGGAATCTAGACGCAGACGCCCTCTGCTACCTTCCAGCCTTGGATCTTTGGAAAATGAAATGTTTCCACCACCCTCAAAGAACGCATTAAGCGCACGGGCAAGCAACCAAACGGTGTCATAGGCATATAAACCATATGTGCACAATCCCAACTGCCAGTTAAATGCCAGACTTCTAGTCATATTGCTCCACCTATAGTAAACCCATGAATGAATGAATGAATGAATGAATGAATGAATAGTATGCACAAGAACAAAAAGAACCTACAAAAAGGAAGAACAAACTAGCGAATGAAGAACACTTCTCAAGAATCCTGAATAGTTTTCACTCACCAACAATAATAGCAATATTAATAACAATGATAATTATAACGGTGATAATAATATCAACAGCAGCAACAACAATGATGATAATATTATATCCTAACCCTATCAACGTGTTCATCAACAAACCTGGAGATAAAGTCCCTTTTTAATCCCGAGTCTGGGGTGTGTATGCGTAGTGTAACAACTCCTTGAATGTCTTCCATTGTTTCCGGAGAAAGCGGGCTGATGGTATCAAATATGGTTGAGAGCCAATGTGTAGTGATCCACACATACCCGCTCTCCATCATCCTTAAACTCTTCGCCACCGAAAATATACTCAGGCTGTTTTTTTCAGGGTAAGTGTGGACAACGAAAATTCGGGACTCTGATAAAGCCACCTGAATTAACACATCCCTTATATCATCAATTGTTGCTTTAGGCTTCAAAGCAGCTTTGTAAGAAATCTGGCATCTTCTCAGAGCCAATTGATCCCCTAATAATATTCAACGTAAACAAACAGATTTGTTAATTGCTCCAGTCCATAGTAGTATATACTCTACAAATTTACCTCGCAGAAGTTCTAGACAAGATATTGGAAACAATAGGGTAGGAATCGTAGTATTTCACATATGGTATGTGGTATTCAAATCTACCTAAAGTGCATAACGCTTCCAAAGGGTACAAATAAGACTAAGGCCCTGTTTGGTAACATTGATAAGCTTATTCTGCTAATGAGCATAAAAAGGAATCGCTCTCCAGCCAGTATTACTTATTCTGTTTATCAGAAAACCATCAGAACAAGAAGTAGCTTTTGACTTGCTTTATTTGGCTGAAATGCATTTTACCAATCAAGTGTCCAACAAAAAATATCAGCAGATTCATTAATCCATTTCATCCAAGTGGCACCTTGCCACGGACACAAAAAAGTAGCATTTGACTACTTGCACAGATGAAACCGACTTTACGAAACACCTTCCCTCTAAACAATTCAACAGATTCAGAGCTAAATGACTCTGACCAAATGGGGCCTAAATAAATATGCAATTCAAATAAATGAATACAATATTAAGAAATAAACTGACAATGACTCTCTGACCTAATGCAGCAATGCCATTCCTTCCATAATCATCATCAGTGTAAATGGCAACCACTTTTTTCCATTCATAGTATTCCACGATGGATGCTATTGCAGCCATCTGAAAAAGATCATTTGGTGAAGTCCTGACAAAGAAAGGGAACTGAAGTGAAGTAAGGGCAGGATCAGCTGCAGCAAAAGACAACAGAGGGACGTGGAGCTCATTCGCGATATGGGAAATAACATGAGCTATGACTGATGACTGAGGACCTATTATCGCCACTATATTCGTCTCCATGAACCTTATAGCTGTCGTTAACAATAACAACAATGCATGTTAAACATGTATACAACGATGCATATTGCATCACAATATTATTATTATTATATATATATGATAAATATGCAAGACGATAGATTGAACTAAGTGGCTGTTTTGGCGGATTGGTCTTTATCAGCCAGCTTTTCTTCTTTTCAAAACACTAAATTATTGAGCTAATTCCCAAAGCAGTAGTGAAAAAATAGGAGTTAGAAGTTTGGTAAGAGTAAAAACAGATTAATTAGCATTATACAATAATAAATTAAAGAATGGGGATAGTATATATTTCTATAATTAATATCTTGACCAGTTTTTTAGGAATAATTAGTAAGCGGGGTGACTTGAAAACTTGATCCTACACATCTATTTAAAAATCGGGCGGAATGATGCTTTCCTATCCTGTGTCAGTTTACGGGAAAATGGAAACTAATAATCCAACCTTTTACCGGTCTTTTTAGAATGATCTTCTTAGAATAACCCCACCTAATTGTAATCTAGGAATAATCCCACCTTTACATCCTATCTTCTTTTATCGGTCCCTGACCGGTTGATAACCTGATATTCTAGGTTATTTTCTTTTCTTTGCATAATATTAAACCATAAATCTCACCTTTCACAAATCTTTTCAAAACGGTCTCACGTAATGTTTTTTCTTTTTTCTCCCTAAACGTTTTCTCTCTTTATTTTATCCTCTTGACTCTTTTATTCCCTTCTTTTGTCTTCTTCTTATTTTTATTTATTTTCCATGTTTATGTATTTCATTTTTCCTTCTTTTTCTTCTTCCCGTTTATTATTTCGTTTCCATTTTATGTATTTTTCGGATTGGTTCCCTTCTTATATAAATCTTTTTCTCACCCTACTAATGTTTTACTTTACTTTTTTTTTACTTCAACTTATTTTTTTCTTTTTTTCTTTTCTTACCTTAACTCTACCACCAATATTCCATCAGCTATTAGTTATTATCTCAATGATGGACTCATTTAGAAAAATATGGTGATGCAGAAAAAAGAAAAATATATTAGTGGTGGAATTAATATCTTTTATAAGAAGGGAACTAATCTGAAAAATACATAAAAACAACAATCAAATAATAAACAAGAAGAACAAAAAGGAAAAAAATGAAATTGATAGAGTATATGGGCTCGGACCCCATGACCCACATACTCATCTTTATATATATAAAGAGAATATGGTGGAGATCCAAATAGAAATCTATTTGGAGCCAAAAGAAGTGAAAAATTGTTGTCACAATTAATTAAACATTATTTAATATGTCAATAGTTAATAACAATCAATGATTAAGTAGAAACCTCATTAATTGTTGTAAGTTACAAATACAAATTAGAAAAGTAAGCATATAGACATTACATATAAATAAAATTATTAGAAAAATATTAGAAACATTTACATACATAATTAGTTAATAGACATTTACATACATAATAAATTTTAAAACGAAATGTTCTAACTTTAGAATATAAAAAAAGTACTTCGTATTAAATTATATTCATGAATGATGAATTCAGATACAAATATTATTAAAAAGGAAAATGATACTACCTTCGTCCCCTAAGTTTGGGACAAAGGGGTGTGGTGTGGTTTTTAAGAAAACGTAGAATTGTGTGGTTGATATTGAATTGATAAAGTGTGAATAAATTAATAATGAATTCTAGCCACTCAAACATTACCTAATATGGTATGGGACAAACTTAATGGGACGGACGAAAAAGGTAAAACGGGACAAACATAGGGGGACGGAGGGAGTAGTAATTAGTACCCCCATAAAATGTGAATGAAATTGATTTGCATGTGAAATACAACAACAACAACAACAATATCTAAGCCTTAGTCCCAATAGATATTGGGGTCGGCTAACATAAATCGATACATGAGATCACCGCCAAAAGGAAAAGAAAGAAAATAATTTAAAGATAAAAAGATAAGCTATTATAAAAAAGATAATGTACAAAGAGATGAATATACCTAAAAACGATAAAATAAAAAGGATAAAAGTAGTCTATATATATAAGGATAAAAAGATAAAAAAACACAAGCAAAAAATGAGGGGAAAAGATGATTTGCATGTGAAATATAAAGAAAATTATATGATGGAGATTTGTGCAGATCGTAGAAGGAAAAAATAATTTACCCACAAACTTAATACTTTAAATAGAAATCACCAAAGTTGCATAAATAAAGTTATCAAAGTTTAACGAGACGAGAGAGGAATTGTTATTGGTAATCAGTTGCAAAATAAAATAAAAATGCATTCATTTAATTCTATTATATCTATCCATAAAAAAAAGACGATTTAAATAAATGTATCCATTAGTAAATAAGTAACTATATTAAAAAGAATTCAATCCTTACTAGCTAGATGCAGACAATTGAATAAGGAGAATATGATTGTACTTTATCAAATTTAACACGAATTTGAACTTAACTGAACTAGAAATTAATTATAAGGAAATAAATAGCCACTTTCACAACAATACATTGAAAAAACATAAAAGGGTCAATACATTGATAACTCACTAATAAGTAAACATAGCATGTCGATCTACAATTCATATGATTGGTCTATATCGTTATAAAATTTCTATACTATGATACACACTAATAATTTATGTGGCTGATATTGAATTGATAAAATGAGAGTAAAGTAGGAATGATTTAGAATCATACCAACGTTACCAAATTTGGTATAAAACAATCTTAATGAGACAAACTAAAAAGGAAAAATGAGACAATTTTAGTGGGACGGATGAAGTAGTATCATACATGAACTCTAATTTATTTTTATATCATATTTTTATACAATAACTATGTATATACACATTTCTCATGAATTATTTTAAAATAAATTATTTCATCTTTTATCCGTGCAACGTACGGGTGGATTGACTAGTAAGGTCAACGATACCAGAGGAACATCCACGTGGCACCCCTCGGCCTAGTGGGTCCCGCAACGGCCAGAAACCGGATCAGCCCAGAACACCGCCCGGAGGATAGATGGGCCTTGTCGGCCATGGACCGCATCGGCCAAAAGGCACCGCATCGGCCAAGAGTTGTCCTGGCAGAATGCATTTTCCTATCTTTTTTACTAAGAATTGTACTCAGCCCATTAGTGGCCCTATTCCGCCCAAAGAAGGCATGATTATTGTAATGGGCCTCCTAAGCCCAAGGCTAGGAGCTCAAATCCACATTTTTACCTATAAATAGACCCCTAGGGGCTAGTTATAGGGGGTTGAGAAATATTAATTACTCACTTTCTCTCTCTATCTCTCACTTCTCTCTAGAATTAAATACTCTATCATTTGGTGCTCTCGTTGAGAGCTTGAACAGATCAAGTGAGCACCCTTCGTCGCTACCAGACGCAACTAACAAGAAATGGGAAGAGTTAGGTCAAAGAACCCCACCGGCAAAACCATCCCTGAGACCCAGGAAAACTTTGAGGAAGCCGGAGATGTTGCTGACAACTACTTCGCGGCTGAGGAAGGGAACATCTGGGAGGTCAATAACCCAACTAACGACCTCCGCAACCACCTCAACAAGACTGCTCAGGACGCCCGCATTGGGCTCGAAGATAAACGCGCTACTGATCGCGCATCGGGTCAATAGACCTCTCCCCCTGTTGTCCCCCAGTTCAACCAGGCCGCCCTATCGGCCATTGTTGCTAGCATCCTCCAGGATCCCAACGTCGTCATCGCCTTTGTCGCAAGAACTGCAAAAAAACAACACCCCCAAGACAGGGGAGGTCGCAACGGCCCCACCGCCTCCACCACCTCCACCTGTTGTCACCTTCTTCGGCAATGGCGAAGATGTTGATGCCATGGACACCCACTCCCACACTGCCACTCCGCCCCGTGATGCACCGGCCCAACCTCAAGGTAAGACCTCGGCCTTCAATAGGCTGGGTGACACAAGCCGTCGGGCACCTACGGGGAGGATGGCGGGTCGGTTGGGTGACCGCGAGCCTGCCTCGCTAAAAGAAAGCTTTGGGTCCGTCTCCAGGACAACGGAACGGCACCGAATGAACAAAGGAAAAGGAAAGCTGCACGACGATGACGCGCGTCACTAGATCAACCAGGCACACGCAGCCCGGGTCCAACCTCAGCAAGATGTCACTGCAGCCATCAGAGATCCTAAAGACAAAATGATTGCCCGGCTGGAGAAGCGACTGGTCGACACTGAAGCCAGGGAAGCCGCGGCGCTCGCTGCGGCCGCTGCGGCCCATGCCTCCCAACCCCCAACTACGAGTATCAAGTTGATTCGGGGCGATATATCTTCCTCGTCAAACGGCCAGTCCTCTTCGTCCAGTGAGGCTGTTAAATCAATAGGGGAGGGGACGCTACGGCCATGATGGAACGGCATAACATCTAAAACCTAATCCTAAGGGTGGTTTTCGGATCAAAGTGAGTTTTCCTACAAACACTAGATCTAAACCCCTAGGAAACAAAGTATAAATAAAATGACAAGAACAATAAGGAATCTAACCTTTGAAGATTTGAAGGCTTGGATAAACACTTGAAGGTTCTGGGGAGCACTTTATCTCTCTAGAAATGGGCAGCACTTCGTTGCTTGATTAGAATGCAAATGGGGAGATGGCTTCGGACTAAGGGGTACTTATAGGCACCCCCTCCAACGGTCACTACACGTGGCACGCATCCATTGGCTACACCGGCTGCCGCCTCCCTTAGAGCCAATCACATGGTGTCCTTTCAAATTCTTACACAAACCACCCACTACGGCCCGAATGAGCCACAACAATAAGGTCGCGCCACGGCCTCGTCACCAACAGCACATACATCACCACAACGGCTCAAGTAAAAAAGTCAACAAACATGAGGCAAGCATCGGCCTAAATACTCAAAAGCAAAGCAACCCCTCTACGACCTGACCTTACAACAACCCAGATCCAATACTACCGTAACGGCCACCTACACGCGAATCGTTCGATGATAACCCTGGCATCATGGCCTCCGTCCAAGGGTTCTCCCACAGGGTTAACTTGGACAGGTTCGCCTGAGGGTTGGAGTCGCGACAAGCATCACGGTGCCGCTTCGGCCAAACAACACTCGTACTCCTTTATGCCTCAACATTCTCTTCAGCCAAAGGAGTGGGGGACTGGGGGAATACATCGGCTAAAACAGGTATATACAAAAAATTAAAATTGATGAAGCATCAACATGGAAACGTTGCGGCTGTATTACAAATCAAAGGCGTGCGACTTACATCGTCCTTATAAATGTGGAAATGAAAGACTTCACCACATAGAGTAAGAGTACCGCCACGGCCAAGAAGCAGATGAGATCTCTTCGGCCTCCAACAGATGACAATAAAACACTTCGGCTTACCTACACCAGACTGCATCGCATCGTCTTCAACCAAAAAAGAAAGTCACCAACCACGAAGGCGTCGCAACGGCCTTCATCCTCAATAGATGAAGAAACCTCTTCGGCCTCCAAACACATTGAGGGCGCGCAACGGCCATTCAGAAGAGGAACAAGGATAGTACTCCCTTTCGCTTCGTCTTCCTCTCAGCTCAGAGAGTGGGGGACTCCTGATAGAGTATATGGGCTTGGACCCCATGACCCACATACTCATAAGGTCAACGATACCAGAGGGACATCCACGTGGCACCCCTCGGCCTAGTGGGTCCCGCAACGGCCAGAAACCGGATCAGCCCAGAACAATGCCTGGAGGACAGATGGGCCTTGTCGGCCATGGACCGCATCGGCCAAAAGGCACCGCATCGGCCAAGAGTTGTCATGGCAGAATGCATTTTCCTATCTTTTTTACTAAGTATTGTACCCAGCCCATTAGTGGCCCTATTCCACTCATAGAAGCCATGATTATTGTAATGGGCCTCCTAAGCCCAAGGCTAGGAGCCCAAATCCACAGTTTTACCTATAAATAGACCCCTAGGGACTAGTTATGGGGGGTTGAGAAATATTAATTACTCACTTTCTCTCTCTAGCTCTCACTTCTCTCTAGAATTAAATACTCTATCAGAAATACATGAACATGGAAAAGAAATAAAAAAATAAAAATAAAAAAGACAAAAGAAGAGTATAAAAGAGTGAAGATGATAAAAATAAAGGTAGAATTTATGGTTTAATATTCTGCAAAGAAAAAAAATACCCTGGATAGCAAATCATCAATCAGTCAAGAACCAATAAAAGAAGATGGGGTGCAAAGGTGGGATTATTCCTATATTACAGTTAGGTGGGATTTTTCTAAGAACACCGGTAAAAGGTTGGATTATTAGTTTCCATTTCACTTAATTTTATTTAAGTTTGTCAGTTTTATTAAAGTTTGTCCGAGTTATTATTCCATTATTTTTCTACTTAGTTGGAATTTGACTTGATCTTTTTTTTTTCAGATTAGACCAGCGCATATAAAATTTTCCGACTTCTTTATTTTTAGTTCAATTTAGTTCATTATTTCAACTTTGTTGAAAATGGTTTTTCCCACTTATTTTTATTCAACTTATTTTTTATGGTAGGAATACAGAGTTATTATGGTTTATGCATTGTCACCCATTATTTTTATTCACCTCAGTCGGAATTGGCTTTTCCAACAGGTTTATTTTTCAAAAAAAAAAAAACACCAACAGGAACATGGTATTCTGAATGCACCTTTTTTCATATTTTTTAATAACCTAATTCAGTCGGAATGGGTCGTTATGAATTACGTGTCTTCCAAACTAATTGGAACTCTCATGTTTTGCATGTCAGACCCAAAACCACTGTCTTTTTGTCATTTCCTCTAGAGGTTATGAGGAGCATCGGTATTATGTAAGTGCAAGAAACTAACTAGATTGGAGAGAAGGCTCAGGAGATTAATCCCAAAGGTTTAAGTTGCGGTATTCGGGGAGAGGAAAGACTAAAAATAGAGTAGGCATGATTGTGGCACGTGACTATGTTGAAGAGGTGTGGAAGTCTTTAAGAAGAACGACCGCATTATAAGCATTATTAAATTGATTATTAAATTGGTGATAGAGGATGAAATCATGTCCATGGTAAGTGCCTATGCACCACAAGTGAGATTGGATGAACTTATCACTCAACAATTCTGAAAAGATATTGAGGAAGTGGTGCGGTGAGCGCTAAGGGAGAGAAAGTGATCATAGGAGGTAACCCCAACGGGCATGTGGGCTCGAGTCGTGATGGTTTTGAGAGTACTCATGGTGGAAATGGTTTTGCTACAAGTAGAAATGAAGAGGTAAAGAACATTATGGATTTTGCCTCGACATATGAGTTGGCTATAATAAATACGTGGTTCAAGAAAAAAGACTCATCTTCTGACCTACAAAAGTGGAGCTAATAGTACCCAAATTGACAACTTCTTCTTTTTTTGGCAAAAAATTGACTTCTTAGTACACACTACTTGGAGAACTAGTTACATTGATCGTAAGGTTATCCCAAGTGAGAGTGTTGTCACTCAACATAGGATATTTATGCTTGAATTTCACGGTAATAAGCATAGAAAGCGGGCTAAACAACAAGTTAAGCTAAAGATAAAGTGGTGGAGGCTCAATGGGGATAATGTTATGTAAAATCAACATTTTTTTGTCAACCAATGTTAAAGTTAAAACCTCCTTATTGATAATTAATTCAAATTTAATAATTAAAATTTACAATTTACATATTCAGAAACTAAATTAAAATTCTCTATAAAGTTGCAAAATTAAAATTAAATTTAAAATTTAATTAAAAATTGATATAATAATTAAGTCAATTTTGGGACGGGGGAGTAGTAAACATGGAGGCTAGAGTTTGTGTATTAACATTGTTATGTTGTGATACGAGTTTGAGAAATTGTGCTAAATAGGACTAAAATTAAACATAAATGCACAAATTAAACTCAATGTTTCTAATTCTCTCAAGAGGACTAAACATTACTTTTCTAACCTAATATAATTAATTGTTCCCTAATTTCCCGACATAACCAGGGCAGTCCGTTGGTGGCACAACGGCAGCCAAGCTGTGAATCGACGGCAGAGTCAGGCTGCGGCAGCGACATTCTAGCAACTGCCAACACCAACGCCAGCAGCCTAGTTGCAGGCCCAAGTGCCCAACCCCTATAGGGGTATTTGTCTAAGCACAAAAAGAGGAATTTTAAACAATAACTCCTATTTTTGCATTTGGACCCAGGGTCGTCCCTAGGGGGAGGAGGGCAGCAGGGGCGACCGCCCCAGGCCCTGAAAATCTAGAAGAAGAAAATTACGCCCAAATTTTTTTCTTTAAGTATAATGTTAGTAGGCTTCTTTTTTATTTTTAAATTCAATTGATTAGGTCTAATGTTTAATTTATGTTGATAATTTAAAAATGTTAAAACATAAGTAAAAAGTCTTGATTAGAGCCGTTCAGACAAATTTAAAAAAGAATATATATTTAATTTTGATTTTTAAGTAGAGCTGATTGTAGGTCAACACATTTGTTGTAGAATCAAATAATCGATAAAGACACGTCTCTTCACATCGTTTTAGCCTTTAAGACTTTTTATTCCTTTTAATTACAAAATTATCAATTTATACTATTGTTTGGGCAGCTTATGCCTCCCAATTCCCAAATTTCATCCCAATTATCCGCGATCGAAAATGTCTCAAAAGAACTCAATGGTAGCAATTTTAAGCATTATATTGAACATGGAATCTTGAAAAAGATTGATTATGGAGCAATTATTGATGATTTAGCTTCACAATATTATGCGACAAATGTTTTTAAGTAATGCTTTTTGTGATACTTGTGTTCTAACTTTTGTCCAAATATGTACTAGTAATTTAAATATTACTCCGTAAAAAATGTGTATTTCGTCTTTATTTTATAAGCTTTATTGGATAGTTTTATTATAATTCTTATTTAAAAAAATATAATTTACTATAAGTCTTGAAAATAAGTCCAAGATGGTATATCGCCCTGTTTGGACCATGTTTCTTCTAATTTGGAAATTGACTCTTAAGCATATGAGTGATTGGAGAAGTGAAAAAGATGAGAATGGTGGAATAATGATGATTATGAAGGAATGAATTATTATTATTATTATTATTACCTTGAAGAATGGGAAGAAAGGCGGCAGTGGGGGCGGTGTCAAGGAGGGTGAGGTTGAGCTTGGTTGCAGGAAGAAGAGTTGGGTTGGAATTGACGTCCTCCACAGCGGCCTCCACAGCCAATTTGGTAACTTTCCCAACTGGGGAATCCAGAATGAGCATACACCCAACATTCACCACTTCCCAACTACAACACCCGCTGCTGTAAAACATCATCATCACTACTGCCCAAAACACCAACTTCATGCCTAGCTAGCTGCGCTCGCAATCCAATCCCAATCTTACTTTATTTCATCAACCCTCACACAATCATAACCTATCAATTACATACCGAATTCAACGCTTACCTTTTTCATACATCTATGTTTGTACGAGTATATAAGTAATCCTTACCAATAATTAAATCAAGTACAGCTCTGGCCCTTGATCTTTGCTTTCACAAATACATGATCGACTAGCTCAGGTTGGTCAGGGCAGAGAACTTGATTAATTTAGACCAATCCTATTTACTTATTGCTTTTTAACTCTACTGTCGGTCGGTATCAATTCGAGTTGGTCGAATGATGTCCTAGTGCCGGGTTGAGAGATCGATCAACGTATAAATGTAGGGAAAATGGAAAGTAATAATTCAACCTTTTAGCGGTCTTCTTTTAATAGTCCGACCTTTTCGTTATTCATGAATAATCCAACCTTTGCACTTCATCTTCATTCATTGGTCCCCGACCGGTTGATGACCTGCTATTTTGAGTTATTTTCTTATCTCTGCAAACTATTATACCATAAATTCCACTTTTCACAAAAATAATATTTTGCAAAGATAAGAAAATAACTCGGAATAGCAGGTCATCAACCGGTCAGGGACCAATGAATGAAGATGAGGTACAAAGGTTGGATTATTCATGAATAACGAAAAGGTTGGACTATTAAAAGAAGACCGCTAAAAGATTGAATTATTACTTTCCATTTTCCCTACATTTATACGTTGATCTCATTTAAGCAGAGATTTCCAAAAGGTTTGTACTAGTGCCGGGTTGAGAGATTTCGAAAAGGTCTGAACAATGATTTAATTTAATATAGAGTATAGAAATTACTTCAAATAGGACTAAAACTATGGCAAAACTCAAAATAGGACCATAGTGGTCCTATTGGAAACATACTCATTTCTTCCTTCCATTCTTACCGCTCCTTTAAATATTAGTAAAAGATAGCTAAAAGTCATAATTAAATGTTTAATTCATAATAAATTCGAAAAAAATTCAATAATTCGTAGAAAAATAATAAAAAAATTAATAAATTTTTTTATAAAATAAAAAATAAGAATATTTTTTTTTTTAATTAATAAAAAAATTGTAAAAACTCCATAAAAAATTTAAAAAAAATATGGATACCTTTCCCACCGCCTGTACTACCTCCCTGAACCACCACCTCCGATCGGTGTAAAAAATGCCACTTTCTTTTTCAATTCCACAAAAATGGCATATTTCTCTATGAGAATGCCAACATTTTCATTCTGCCAACTTGAATCCTTTTGACTTTTGCCAAAAATATGGCATTCATAATTTTTTTGGCATTTTTTTACCCCGGTGACAGGAGGTGGTGGTACCGCCTCCCTGCACCACCACCCCTGACCGTTAAAAAAATGTCATATTTCCTACAAACTTCCATTTTTTCGGAAAATGCTAAAAATATGGCATATTTCTCTTTGACAATGCAAACATTTTTTTTCTTCCATCTTAAATCATTCTGAATTATGCCAAAAATATGGAATTCATAATAAATTTGGAATTTTTACCCAAATGACTAGAGGTGGTGGTGCTGGGGCGGCAGAGGTGGCGGTGACAAAAAAAATGATTTTTTTTTTAATTTTTTTTTATTTTTTTTTAATTTTTTTTTAATTTTTTTTAAAATTTATTATTATTCAAAATATTTTTATTAATTTTTTGGTATATTTTATGAATTTTTTATTATTTTATTATGAATTAAAACATTCCAATAGGTATAAGGGTATATTTGTCCAAGACACACATAATTAGTCCTATGGAAACATAGTTTATTTTTTGGTCCTATTTCTGCAAAGTGAATGACTTTTAGTCCTATTTTGATAATTAACTCTATAGAGTACTCTTCCGGTCAGGAATTCCTGACCGGAACCGCCGTCCAGACGGCGGCATTTGGCCGCCTTCCGGACCAGTTAACTTGCAAAAATCATTTGACGACCTTCCCGGTTGAGATTTTGGCTGAATTTTTTTGTGGATAAACTAGACTTGATGGAGAACATGCCATAAAAATTTCATCAAAAAATGCCACCGGGAACGCGGCCAAACGCCGCCGTCCGGACGGCGGTTCCTGTCCGGAATTCCGGACATGAACATTTGTGTATATTTCCTCCGTTCTTTAATTCTTGCAACAGTTTGACTTTCACGTTTGCCCATGCACAACTTTGACTGTAATTATATTTAATTATGTATTAGTAAACATTATAACAAGTTGATATTTTGAAAATTCACATTGATAGGAATTCAATAACATTTTATACGTAATAGTTTGATTATGTATATTAGTATAAAATCGTGGTCAAAGTAAGGTCTGTAAATAGTGTAAAAATCACAATGTTGCAAGAATTAAAGAACGGAGGAAGTATATGAATATAATTTATAAATTTTATGCATGAAAATATTTTGAATAAGGAACATTTTGATATATTTTTCATATTTAAAATAATTTAGTGTTAAAAATATCATTGACCAAAATTGATTGTCAATGATCAGGAAAGGTCAATTTGGCAAAACCTTTTTCGGGATGGAGGGAGTAATATGGAAGTGGTCGGTGGAATCTACTCAATATATATCAAGTTAAGGGCCCACATCCAAACCCAAAATAACGGACCCTCCCGGTCCATTTTAGGTCGGTTGCAATAGGGTGGGTAGAGTTGGAGTAGGTAATTGACAAATTTTTAATAACGACCAGTTTCATTTAGGGCCCATTTCGTAACATCCAAATCGGCTGTATCGGCTGATTCTGCCAAAGTTTATGAAGTTCTGGTTGAAGTGGTTATATTGGCTTTTTCTGTTGATTTGTGAGAAAAAAATATTTAAAATATAATTTATTAATAAAATAAATAATATATATAGCTCAAATGGTCCTCTGCAGTAACTTCGGTCAATGCAGGCAGAAAAGTAACTTCAACCTTACTTTTCTTATTATTGCACAATTCAGCGCTCAAAATCAAAATTTACGTGTTTGGTAAAAAAGTTGGTTGATAAGCCTGAAAAGAAAAAATCATGGTTACCAAACAGGCTCTTAATTTAACAGAAAGGTTTGATCGGGATATATAACTTAGGGAGATTTCCCAAAATAGGAGTAAATGGAGTTTGGAATTCCAAAATAAGACTACTATGTTTTTATTCACAAAATAGGACTTACATGACATTATTTATTATAATTAATGGCAGTATTTTTTATGCATGGCAGTAACTACTCCTATTTCGGGAAGAAAAACATAGTAATCCTATTTTGTTTTTTTTTTTTTTTTTTTTATTCCAACATTAATATGATAACTAGCAAACGCATCGAAGTATTTAAAACGGTGAAACAAACACCAACCCACTAAAGACAAAAATTCATAAAGTGATGTCCTGATATACTTGCTCGAATGAAATAAAATCATAGCATGCCAGGATAGACTTTGCTCAAGAGTCTTGTGAAACAAAACAAAATGTTTAAGCTGCTATTTTGTAATTTCAAACCTCATTTACTCCTCTTTAGGGTAATTTCTCTATACCTAATCTTGTACTCCCCCCGTCACATTAAAGGTTCTCGTCCACTATTCTCCAGCCAATATATATATATATATATAGAGAGAGAGAGAGAGAGAGTCCTTTTCCTGTCCGGCCAGGCAAATTAACTGGTCCGGAATATACATATAAAACGCAGTGAACTTGCAAAAATCATTTGACAACCTTCCCGATTGAATTTTTTGCTCAAATTTGGTATGAATGAACTAGACTTGATGAGAAACATACACAAAAACTTTGGGCAACAAATACCACCGGGAACCACCTCAAATTGAGGTGGCCGGACAGGGGAGTGGTCCGGCCTGGCCGGACCTGAATAATTCTCTCTCTCTCTCTCCCTCCCTCTCTCTCTCTCTCTCTCTCTCTCTCTCTCTCTCTCTCTATATATATATATATATATATATATATATATAACTTTTATGAAATTTAATTTTTCTTGATCAGGTTTTATAAAACTTGTAATGTAGTTTCTGAATATGTAAATTTTATTTATTAAAAATAATCTTATTAATGACAAGGATTGGTTAACTTTATGATCAGTCAAACATTGTAAATCGCGTGAGAACCTTTAAGTGGGAGTGTGGGATGGAAGGAGTATTTATTTATTGTTGAAGATTATTATTGTGTTTCAAGCTTGTCTTATGTCTTTTTAATTAATAGTTTATTTATACCTTTTATGGTATTAAATATGATGTAATAAGTAGCCTAGAATAGAGAATAGGGCCACTTATAGTTTGGGCCCATATTAGTAGGTTAGCCTTTTAGGGAACCTGCACATGCGCCTATAAATATGCGCGTAAGGTGTGCAGGTCTGAATAATCAGCATATATCCTTCCGCACACTTATTCTGTAAAAGTTCTCGATAGTATTACAAAGGGAGATTTCACTGTTCGATACATTGCATATCATTATTTGAATCTCTGCTTTTTATTCATCGATGAATCCATTTTGTAGCTGATCGATTAGCATTCATACACATTTGGGACCAACAACTGGCATCAGAGCCGATCGAGTGAAGAACATCTGTTAAGAAAAAGTGCGAAGATGCTCTGTTTATCTGTTTTCGATATTTTCTTCTTTTAGCTCTTGTAATCCTGTTTCTGCTCATTTCAGTGTAAAAGTTATATTGTTGAAATCGCCATCTCGAAATGATCAAGCAGTATATCTTCATTTTCATTTTCTGTAAACTTTGATTTTTAGATTTCTCGATATCTTAGTATCGAAAAACAGGTTTCTCGAACTTCAGGAGGGTTTTTCGACTCGAAATCGATACAGGACATTTCTCGAAGTACAAGACTTTGCAGAGGGATTTTTCGAATTGCTTAAATCTGATTTTTTGAAGTGCAGGATCTCGATATCAAGATCTCAGCATCTTAGTTCTCGAACTAAGTTTTCGATACTAGCTTCTCGACATTTAGTTTTCGATATTTTGCTTTCTCGAATCATTTTTCGATATACAGGTTCTCGAATTGACTTTCTCGAAATCAAGGGTCTTCGTATTCAAGTTTTTTAGAAACTTTTTTTTCTCGAACCTTATTTCTCGATACTCAATTTCTCGAGCCTAGTTTCTCGAAATCCTGGTTCTCGAAGTCAATTATCGAAATCTTCTTTCTCGATAAGCTTTTCTCGAAATCTTAGTTTCTCGAGCTTAGAGTTTTTGAAGTCTAGGTTTTCGACATTCTGAACTCCAAATTCAGTTAAACATCTGATCAAACACTCGAACGGTCAATTTTAAAAGGACAGAATGGACACTTTATCACTAGGAAACGAAAGCAGACCCCCGATCCTAAGAAGAGGAGAATATCTGATGTGGAAGAATTAGTTTTTGAATTTCC